TGAACATAGTTCTCTGCATTAATGGTGCCTTTCCAGACATGCAAGCTGCCCATGCCACAAGCACTCATGCAACCCCATACCATCAGTGATGCAGGCTTCTGAACGAAGCGTTGATAACTACTTGGGCTATCCTTGTCCTCTCTGGTCCGGATGACATGACGTCCCAGTGTTCCATAAAGAGCACTGGGACGAGCTTCTTCTTCATATAAACAACCAGGAGAAGTTTGAGACAGTTGGCCATTTCAAGGTCGAGTGGGGAAGTCTAATTCACTTACTTTGGGTCAGGCCGACTGCTTGAATTTCCATGTCTCCTTTCATAGTATTGCTGGTACGTCTTACTGGTGAGTCCAAACAGTCAAATTTGGTGGTTGCACCACCGGACCAAGCTTGTAGCCTTCTCCAGGGTTGATTCCTTCCCACCAGTGAGTCCCAGAAAACACAAGTGGCCTGTGATTCTCAGATATTGTGTCCAACTTACGGCTCAGCTCATGCAGAGTCTGAGCTTGCCGCTCGGTACATTCCTTCACACAAGGCAGGCGACATCACAATTGCCAGAACTGCTGCTGCCTTATTCCAAATTTGTTGATATTCCAGATACCCGCCAACTCCAAAAAGCAGAAATCTAGTTATCAAATCCAATTATGTACACGTCTTCTACATCCTCAACGGACAATTTGAACAGACACACCATCTCCCACTGCCCCCAGGAATCCATAGTGTATCCAGCTGTAAGTGTCCCTTCAGGGCATGAGGGCTCTCCTTCACCCTGTCATCTCATTGACAAAATCAATTGTGTTGAGACCAGCTGACCAGATCTATAATTTACAATTCAGAAGATATGTAGTGAAAGGCTGTGGCCATCAACATCATCATTGTCACCATTGTGTTCATCATCATCATCATTATGGCCATCATCATCACCACCGTGGTTATCATCATCACCACCACCACCACCGTGGCCATCAACATCATCATCAGCAGCAGCATCACCACAGTGGTCATCATCATCGTTATCACATTGCTTCTGTGTTCAGGACCAGTCTGAAGCTGAATAGGTCCAGGACCAGCAGAGTCCTGCAGTAGACCTGAGCGGCCCTCCAGCTGCAGATTGAGGACATGTCTCCTATAATTTGAGCTGTCAGACAGTCTGGTGTCCACACCTCCTCCTCTGCTCCTCTGCTCACTGGGTCATTTGTCATGGAGGAAATCACAGCTCAAATCTTCCACTACGGTAATATCTCTGTCATTCAGCATCCTCCCCCTCACCAGTACTCCCCCTCTCATCTCTGGGTGATGCTATCTGGAGAGGAGGTGACAGTCTATCAGAGCACCTCCTCTCTGCTCCCCTGATAACACTCCACTGCTTATAATGTTGAGAAAATGATAAGAAATAATAGTCTTTCTCTTTTTCATGTTGGCTGGGCGAGCCCACATCCATCACTTGCCATTTATCAGCTACACAACTTCTCCAGGTGAGGATCCAAATATGAACCGAGGCTCAGGAACAATCAGCAGATAGATTCAGGACAGCAGTTATTAGATTAAAACTCATGACCGTCTCCTTCTGCTACTCAACGAGCCCTGAGGAACCTGATGGATGAGATGAAGCTCTGTAATTTCTGCTGCACAAACCAAAAACTGTCTGTCAACAGCACGGCTCTCTGCACCCCAAGTTTATGAGTTAAACCAGCAGGATGATAGCAATGATTTCACCTTGATGCTCACCAGAGTTTAGGAGGAAATAAAATGAAACCTAAACAGATCAAAGTCCCAAAATCAGATGGACACAAGAAGCAGGTTATTTTTTTAATTAACAGAAACAAATATGGTGCAGGACAGCACTGGCACCTAACAGAAACCACAAACAACGGACTGTGATGGACCTGAAAGAAACATAAAACTCAACAAGGTGAAAAAGACTAAAGACCAAGGGCACTTGAAACAGGTAGTCCAATCAGCTGACAGGAAACAGGAAGTTAGAAACTACAGAATTGAAGGCAGATAAAGACTGGAAAAAAAACTGAAACCTAAACAAAAATAATTTGCTTCACTTTATTTCTGTAGCTCCAAGTCCCAACAGAAGTTGTATCAGGGTGCTGTACAAAAGCGTTCATATACATTATAAAATATAATCATTAAAAGCTATCCATCAAAGGAAACAACAGATTATGTTGAATCTTCACATCGTCACAGTCTCCCATACTGAGCAAGCACAATGGAGACAATGGAAAGGGAAAACTCCCTTTACCAGGAAGAAAGCTCAAGCAGATCCAGGCTCACGACAAGCAGCCATCTGCTTTGACCGGCTGTGTTCCAGAGTACAGGAAGTAAAACTGGAGACAGGAAGTAGAAACAGACAAAGAATGACAGGTCCAAGTGTACTTTCTATAGGAGGAAAGATGAACAGTCTTGGTTCCGTTTTTGGACGTCCTGGCTGATACACACTGTTCTGTTGGTGGAAGTCATCATTGATACTATCTCTATTCTCTTGTTGGACGTGTTGACTGATACAGTCTCAGCCATTTTGTTGAATGTCCTGACTGTTAGAATCTCAGTTCTGTTATTGCATATTCAGACTGAGTCTCAGCTATGTATGGTATGGTATAAAGTTTATTCATTAAAAAAAAAAAAAATTCCATAAACTATATAAAAAATACAAGAGATTTAAAATGAAAAGCAGCAGAAAGAATAAAAAATCTTATTATGTCTGCCCCTTTTTTCAAACAATTAGTTCAATGCTAATAATTTTCAAGTAACAGAACAAAATGAATAACTCTTTCTAATTTTTCTAATTCTAATACAAAACACACACTAAGCTACTTCATATATTTTTTTTAACAATTCAGTTTTGATCTTTTTCTTAAATGTGCACATTGACTTGACATTTTTCACATCACTCTCTAGAACATTCCACAATCCAACTCCTTGGATTGAGGTAGACCTTCCCTTCAGACTAGTTCTGAATTTTGGTTTGACAAATATCTCTATCCCCTTAAGATTATAACAACTTTGTCTTTTAACAAAATTTCTTTGGATATTTAACAGTAATGTGTTATTTTGAGCCCTATACATAACTGATAAAATACTATAATCTATCAAATCATGGAACTTCAATAAGTTCAGTTGATAAAATAATGTGCTTGATGGGTGACTGTAATGCTTTCTGGTGATAATTCTTACAGCTCTTTTCTGTAAAATAAAAATAGGTTTTGTAAAAGTTTTACACGCTTTCCCCCAAACATCAATGCAATAGATTAAATGTGGAACAATGATTGTGTTATACAACATGTACAGAGCTTTATCATTTAATAATTCCCTGACTTTGTATAGTACTGCAATAGATTTAGATATTTTTGTTCTTACAGAATTGATGTGATTTTTCCATGTTAGCTGTTCATCAATGATTACACCCAAAAATTTCATCTCATTAACTCTACAAATCTCAACACCCTCAATTTTAAATGGATCATCAACAGTTCTCTTTTTGTTACTAAATATCATGTATTTAGTTTTATCTAAATTTAATGATAATTTATTAAGTTTAAACCAAGTTTGTATTTTATCAAATTCTGTCTTCATCAATTCCAACATCCGTTTTACATCTTTACCCAAACAGAAAAATGTGGTGTCATCTGCAAAAAGGACACATTTGAGGAGTCCTGATACATTCACTAAGTCATTCACATATAAAATAAATAACTTTGGTCCAAGTACAGAACCTTGAGGAACTCCACATGTGATATTGCAGGTCAGACCTTACACCATTTATTTGCACAAACTGTTTCCTATCTTTCAAATAGCTAGATACCCAGTGTAATGCTGGTCCTCTTATACCATATTTATTTAATTTTTCAAGGAGAATAGTGTGGTCAATAGTATCAAAAGCTTTTTTTTAAATCAACAAAAATCCTAACAATATTGTTTTTGATCGACAGCAGTAGTTACTTGTTCTATTAATTCCATGAGAGCCATTCATGGAGTTTTTTGCTCTAAACCCATACTGACTACTACTTAGAATGTTTTGTTTAGTAATAAATTTATCTCATCTTCCCAGACCAGCTTGTCTCAGCCGCCCGAGGAAGTAGAGTCTCTGATGAGCTTTCTTGATCAGGCTGGTGGTGTTGTTGCTCCAGCTGAGGTTGTCATTCAGGTGCACACACAAGTACTTGTAGCTGGAGACCACTTCTACCACAGATCCTCTTATGTTCAGGGGGGTAGGTGTATTTATTCCTTCTGAAGTCCACGACCATCCCCTTAATCTTCTTCATATTGATGTGAAGGTTATCCTCTTTACAACAGCTCTCCAGGTGTTCCACCTCTTGCCTGTATCTGGACTCATTGTTGTTTGTGATGCATCACACCATCATCTGCAAACTTTACAATGTGACAGCCTGGATGGGAAGCTGCACAGTCATATGTGAGCAGAGTGAACAGGAGAGGGCTCAGCACACATCCCTGAGGGGAGTCCGTGCTAAGGATTAAGGTGGAGGAGGAGAAGAAGTTGTGGATCCTCACTAACTGTGGTCTGTTTGTTAAGAAGTCTAGGACCCAGTTGCAAATCGAGGGGCTTAGTCCTAGTGTGAATTGTTTGTCCATCAGGGTTTGGGGGATCATGGTGTTGAAGGCAGATGTGAAGTCCACAAAGAGCATACAAACGTAGGAGTCCTTCTGCTCCAGGTGGGTGAGAGCAGTGTGGACCACAGAGGAGATGGTGTCCTCTGTAGATCGATTCTAGTGGTACGCATACTGGTGAGTGTTCTTGTTGATGTTGATGGTTGTTTTGATGTGAGTCATGACCAATTTTTCAAAGTATTTAGCGACTATCAGGGTGAGGGCTACTGGCTGATAGACATTCAGACCAGTCACTGTAGAGCTCTTTGGGACTGGGATGATGGTGGTGGTCTTCAGGCAGGTGGGAACTGTTGCCAGGGTAATTGAGGTGTTAAAGATGTTGGCCAGCACCTGGCAGAGCTGATCGGCACAGTCTTTCAGCATTTTCTCGGGGATGTTGTCTGGGCCGGTCGCCTTGTGAGGATTAATCCTCCTGAAGGTACTACTTACTTCTGCTGAGGTCACGATGAGAAACTCTTCATCTTGTGGTGAGGTGAGTCTGGTGCTTGGTGGTCCGTTTGGGTCTTCAAAGTGTGCGTAGAATTTGTTGAGGCCATCAGGCAATGATGGGTCTCTAGGGCATTGTTCACTTCTGCCTTTATAATCTGTTATAAACTTAATGCTCCTCCACATGCTCTGTGGGTCTTGTGAAGTGAATTGACCCTGGATCCTCTCTGCATATATAGCCTTGGCCCTCTTAATACCATTAACCAACTTTTTCCTCATCCTTCTCACCTCCTGTGAGTTTCCAGACCTGAAGGCAGTGTCCCTGGCTTCCAGCAGGGTGCGAACCTCTGCATTCAGTAAAGGCTTCCTGTTCGGGTAACTCTTAACATATCTGATCCATCAGATCCTATCAACCTTCGACTGTCATATGGTAGCTTAAAACGATTTTTATTTAATTATTTTTATTTTATAATTTATAATTTTTTAATTTTAATCTTAAATTTATCCACAGACTCTGATCATGAAGCTTCTTTTTAAAGTACTCCTTTTATTTTCTTTTGCTTCAAGTGGGTCAGTATGTTGGAAGTATGGAAATGAGGCACATAGTCATGCCCCCATCCAGCCTTGGATTTTTCCAGGTCAGGGACTTCAGTCTGGTCATTCTCTGTTGACTGACCCAGTCATGGATGTCCTCCTGGTGGCCAGGATTAAATCATAAAACTTTTGTTCATCTAATGTGTATATCTGTCTTGCAAAGCAGTTTTATACACATAAATTTCTCTTATAGATTTGGCAATTTCAAACCTTAATGATAAGGAGTCAATTTCTAATGTGAAAAGGAAGTACTATATTCTTCTTCTTCTACTACTATCAGGAAATGTTCAACCTAATCCAGACCCTTCTCTGAATAATATTGATATTCCTGAAAAATTTAGTGAGAGATCTGGTCTTGGCATTTTACATTTTAATGTCCGAAGCCTGCCTCCTTAAATTGATCTTGTTAAAATTTGGATACAAAGAACAAAACCTGACATCCTTGTGTTTTATGAAACATGGTTAAATAAATATGTTTCAGATCAGGATATTGCTCTTCAGAAAGGGGGACTGGAGGGTGTGCTCCAATTATAGAGGCATCACTCTCCTTAGCTTCCCTGGTAAGACCTATTCAGGGGTACTTAAGAAGCGAGTCCGATCATTGGTCGAATCTCAGATCCAGGAGGAACAATGTGGGTTCTGTCCTGGCCATGGAACACTGGATCGGCTCTTTATCCTCACTAGGGTCTTTGAGGGGTCATTGGAGTTTGCCCATCCAGTCTACATGTGTTTTGTGGACTTGGAGAAGGCATTCGACCGTGTTAGTCGGGGTACACTGTGGGGGGTGCTCCATGAGTATGGGATTGGAGGCCCGTTGTTACGAACTGTTCAGTCCCTATACAAGCGGTGCAAGAATTTGAATTGCATTGCCAGCAGTAAGTCGGACCCCTTCAGGGTGGGAGTTGGATTCCGCCAGGGCTGCCTATTGTCAATGATTCTGTTCATAACTTTTATGGACAAAATTTCTCGGTGCAGCCAACTGGCGTAGGGTTTCCGGTTCATTGGCCTCAGGATTCCACCTCTGCTCTTTGTAGATGATGTGGTCCTGTTGGCGTCATCGTGCCGTGATCTCCAGCTCTTACTGGAGCGGTTCATAGCAGAGTGTGAAGCAGCTGGGATTAGAATCAGCACCTCCAAATCTGAGGCCATGGTCCTCAACCAGAAAAGGGTGAATTGCTCTCTTTACGTCGAGGGTGAGGTTCTGCCTCAAGTGGATGAGTTCAAGTATCTGGGGGGTTTGTTCACAAGTGAGGGAAGAATGGAGTGTGAGATTGACAGACTGATTGGTGCAGCATCTGCAGTAATGCGGACTCTGTACTGGTCTGCTGTGGTGAAGAGAGAGCTGAGCTGTAAGGCAAAGCTCTCCGTTAACCGGTCGGTCTATGTTCCTGCCCTCACCTATGGTCATGAGCTCTGGGTAGTGACCAAAAGAATGAGGTTGCGGATACAGGTGGTTGAAATTAGTTTTCTCTGCAGGGTAGCTGGACTCTCCCTTAGAGATAGGGTGAGAAGTTCAGTTATTCGGGAGAGACTCGGAGTCAAACCGCTAC